CCATTGTATTGCTTTATACTTAGAACAGACCTGTGAGACAGGTGGGCCCTATCCAAATGAGAAAACTGAGTCTTAGGTGGGTGAAGCCCTTGGCCAACATCACCCATTACATACCTGCAGCCACGGACAAAGAACGGCAGCCTGGGGAGGATGGACACCTGAGGGATCCCAAGGCCTGAGAGGCATGAACCATATGCTTATTAGGAATGTTCTCTTTGGCTGTATTTTTTCATTTTTATTTATTAAGTTTTTAATTCTACTGTCTTTGGTTCCATTTTTATGTCTTTTGTCTAGATTCTTTAGGTAAATAGTCCATTTATTTCCCTTTTTCTTTCTAATAGAATGCATGTAAGACTATAACCTTTCCTCTGAATAATCCTTTGGTTTTATCCCATTGGTTTTGATAAGAAATGTACTATACACTTACTGTCATTTATCTCTACATAAGCTAAAATTTCAAATTTGATTTCGTCTTCAACTCCAATTTTATTGAAAAGAATACAGTTAAAAATCTCTAATGGATACATTTATGTAGCTGTGCTTTTTGTTAATTTCCAGTTTTATAACATTTTGATCAAAGGATGCAATTTGTTTGTTTTGTTTTGTTTTGATTTTTAGAGGGGGAAAGAATTTTTGAACTATTTGATAGTAAAATATATCATCAATTTATTCCATGTTAACTAATTTCTTTTATATTCTAGTGTTGCTCGGATTAAAAAATAAGTTTAAAATAAAGAAAAAAAATTGTAACTCCTCAAACACTCTTAATAGATAATTGTTCCATGACCCTAAAATTATTTCATGGAATCATGTCAATTCTAGAAAGTCACAGAAAGAAGAAATGGAGAATAAGACATGAAAATATAATTTAAAACATTTTTATACTTAGCAAGAGCTACGAAAGTAAAAAAGGGGCACTGAGGCAACACAGAGGTAGTCACTGCAAGAAGCAAGTGTGACCCCTTGGACTAGAGGAGCAAAGGGAAGAGAATCTAGAAGCTCCTAAGAAGGAACCATGGAGCTGGGACTCAGACCTCTGAGGACACTGCCTGACTGCTGCTGCTTTCTCTGAGGGGGTCCCAGGAGGCTGGTCTGCAAGTGAAGGAAAACAACAAAAAACAAAAAGAGAACACAAGGCTGGGACCAACTGCCAAAGCTGTGGTGAAGAACCATTGCTGAGATGCAGCTGACAGGACCAGCAGGCAAACAGGAGGGAGCAAGGCCTTCTCTCCCCTCCTGCGTCCTACTCTCCTCCTGGGGCTCTATACTGACAGAGCCCATCAGGCAAAGGAAGATGTATTCTGGGGAGCCCCAGCCTCGGGATCACAGACCAGCACAGGAGGGTGGGCTTGGGGCTGAGACACTAGCTCACAGCCTGGCACAAGGAACACTTAGTGCCCCTCCCCGTCCTTTTTACAACTGAGAGTCTGAGATCCAGAGCATGCAAGAGAGTGGTCTAGGGCCTCACATAACAGTGGTACAACTAGGGCTAGCAGGCACAGGTATGTAAAAATATAGTGGCAATTAAAATATACTTTTGTAAGGTAGAAAACTGGCAACTGTTAATTTGTGTGAGTGAATTAATTACCAAGCTATAGAATTATGATTATGTATGCTAATACTAAGGGTCAGATCAGCTTTGTTGTTTTATTTTAATTACAACACCAAGACTCTGGTCATGTAGGCAGACTCTCCATTGTTTGCTGCTTGTGTGACATATCTGTAGACAAAACTCAAAAAGTATTAGCAGAAACTTTGCCTATTAGTGTTCTAATGGGAAAACCAATGGAGCTACTGGAGAAAATATCCTCAAAGGAGATGTCCAGCCAACTCAGGTATATAATCTTCATCATCAAATCTCTGACTCTTTCCCTGGGACATCAGAAATGATATTTTTTAGATGGCTTAAGATTACCTTAAAACATTCCCGGAGGGTCTAATACAGGCAGAAAAGTACAGGGAGTCTGTGGAATTTTGAATCTTAGCTCTGCCACTTTCAAGGTGACCTTGAGTAAATTACTTTGGTTTCTTGTTACCTGGTGATAGGAATGTTCATTTATTTATTCAGCAAATATGTGGAGTGCCTACCATGTGCCTGACATTGCTCTAATGGCTGGGGACCAGTGAATCACTCTGCACTCCCTGAGCTTTCCACTGCAGTGCAGAAAGGCAGAAAATAAACCTATAAATATATAAAATGTTAGGTGGCAGTAAATAATATTACAAAAATAGGTCAAGGTAGGCAAGTAGAGAACGACGAGAGGGATTAGTTTTATAGAGTGCATAGCAGAGGCCAGTCTGATAATGTAACATCTTAAGGAAAGGAGGGAGCCATGTGGGTGTCTGGAGAAGACTTTTCCAAACAGTGGGAACCAGACATGCAAGGGCCCTGCAGTGGAACCTGCTTAGCGAAGACGAAGAGGGTGTGTGACGAGGTGAGGGCCGGGGGGCGGGGGGTCATGGGAAAAGCGGAGGTCAGGGAGCCGCGGGGAGGGGAGGAGGAGGCAGGACTAGATCCTACAGGGCCTGTTTGTTATGTGTTTCCATTACAGAGCTGGGAGCAGAGGACTAACATGATCTGACCTGTCTTAAAAGATTCACTAGCGCTGCTGGGTGGAAGGTAGACTGTGGAGAGTCAACAAGGGAGACGGGGTCGGAGGTGCAATTAGGAAGGTCTTGCTGTAATCCAGGCAGAAAATGATGGTGACTTAGAAAAGGGTGTCAGTGTGAAGGTGTTGAGAGGTGATGGCATGCCGGGTAGGTTTTGAAGGACCAGTCAACAACATTGCTGATGTACAGAGAGGGGAGAAGTAAAGAGTGTTGCCAGAGTGTTTTGTTTTGTTTTGTTTTGTTTTTTGGTACACGGGCCTCTCACTGTCGTGGCCTCTCCTGTTGCGGAGCACAGGCTCCGGACGTGCAGGCTCAGCGGCCATGGCTCACGGGCCCAGCCGCTCCGCGGCATGTGGGATCTTCCCGGACCGGGGCACGAACCCGTGTCCCCTGCATCGGCAGGTGGACTCCCAACCACTGCGCCACCAGGGAAGCCCTTTCCAGAGTTTTTTGCCTGGATGGCAGGAAGAATGGAGATACTATTACTGAGAAGGGGAAGAGAGCGGGAAGGGCTGGTGAATCGTGTGAAGCCTGTTGTGAGATAATAAATCAATGAAATAAATGAGATGATGTGAATAAAACTAGTGTGTTCCTTGCCCACCATAAGCATTCAGCCAATCTTACGGCCCTTACCTATCCTTTATTCTTTGTTACTTCTTTTTGTTCTCGGAATGCATTTGTGCACTACCCACATGCCCCTCCCTTTTTATTCACTACTTCTCTGCAGATCAATATATAGTCAAAACATTTCCACAACAGTGGGAGGTCGGCTAAACCTCACCCAGAAAAGCTTCCAACAGACTGCTGAATCAGCAGAGGTACATAAATTGCATTTTTAAAGAAAGAAAGAAAACTACTTGATGACAAAACAACATGCATGGCAATCCTTCTAGTTCCTCGAAGTCCTTGAAGTACTTCAGTACCCCCAAAGTTTCCCTGGTACTGGTTGTTTTTTAATAGAAATTCTGTGAAGAGAGAAATATAGTATTTCATAAGCAGTTTTTTCTTTGAATTTCTGAAGAGAGGCTAGAAAACTGAAAAGTTACCCAAAGCAACTATATAAATGCTTACTGCATATATTATTTCTTGGCACAATTTCCTAGCTGTTTTTATTCTTTTGCCTAAAAGTTTGAAGCATAATATTAAAAGGAAATAAGTGATGTAAATGTATTAGACAAATATGTCTTAGCAATATTTTATCCAAAGCCAACGCCCAAAATAACCAACACATAAATAGAAGCATACAGTGTACATATAAAAAATATGCTTGGTTCTTTAAAATTCTTTACTGCAGAATTTTTATTTCATTTGAAATGTCAGTATTCAGTTCACATATCTCTATGCTCTTAAGAATCATCAGCATTTAATTTATGGGTGTTTTTAGTTGGAAAGAGTCTGCTGTTTAAAATTCAATTCAATCCCCTCGGTTTGGGTTGAAGACTACTTACATCTTGTGTTTTTCCCAAAGCCCTCCTCTATGCCCAATTTCCCATAGCTAATCAAATCTTTAATCCAAGGTAGAATGCAGCCCCTACCACTTCCCCACCCCAGCTCAGGGGCAATAACACAGAGAATAACAGAGCGCAGGGACAAATAACACATTTGTCCCATGGTTGTTCCTCCTCTGTCCCCAGGCAGCATCTAGTGTATGTGTGGCTTCATGTAGCATTTGAAACTGGGTATAATGATGGCTTAAGAAATAAATCCTGCAACCAGCCGAGAGGCAGCTGGGGGCCCACTGTGGATAAGAAGCACACAGGAACAGACCAGCTTACCTTCGAGGAGTGTGTGCCTTGGATATGTTCACGAGATTATCCAGCATTAGAAAGACAAAGCCCCCAGCTTTGCCAAGGAGGTGTAGAGGCAAACAAGGATCTCTTTCTGGGCTTGGCAAGTAGGAGTATTGGCAGAGGCCACTGAACCCTTGTAGATGTCTTAGGTTTATGACTCGTGGTTTTTAATACTAAGTTATGGAATGATAGGAACTTCTCAGGCTCCTGAAGGTACACAGTGGAAAGCAAATGTCTAAGCAAATATGCCAGCATTTAGTATAAAATGCAGCCGAGTGGTTGGCACTAGCTGTGAGAGGCCTGGAATTGACTATACAGTCTTTTGTTCATGGGTTTCCAAGTATAACTTTCCTAACACATGACCAGAGAATCCTTTATTCCCCAGGAAGAATCTACTTCTTAACGCTTTTCTTTAACTTTAATCCTGTTAAGTTCCATGTTTAAAGTAAGCAGCCAGGTTTACCAAAGGTTTCATCACCATAATTATTAGCAATTTTAACTCTACTGATGCCAAGTCTGTTTTCCAGCTGGGATAGCCCTACCCCTTTGACTTAGATGGGAAAGAAAATTGATTTTGACTGGTATGTTTTTAAATTTCAGGGATAGTTGCTGTTCTCTTCTGTGGAGTCACACAGGCACATTACACCTACAACAATCTGTCGTTGGATTCCAAAATGAGGACTAAACAGGTAAAAGAAAAAACTCACTACAGGCTTTGTCTCTTTTCTCAGTGTAATGGTTATGTGGCAATTCTGGCCGGGCACTTGGAAAGAATTTCATTAGTAAAGGAAGGCAGTAAGCTGAAGGCTTCGTTATAGGTTGGATATTTATAGATTTTTTTTTTTCTTCAGGATAACTATTAACAGTTCTCTTGGTAAGCACAAATATAGTTATAATAGTCTCTCCCTCCTGAGAAATGTGGAACGTAGACTGTCAGTCTTGAAGATGAAAGGCCCACCGTCAGTAATAATTCACAGTCACTTACATGTCAAAGCATTATAAAGCATGTGAGATTGGGTAGTTTTATAGAAAGAAGGAAATGAAGAAGGATAAGGAAGTAATGTTTGGTCTTTAATTGGGTGCTTTTGCTTTCAAGTAAACTCAACTGCCAGTTGTCACATAAGCAGAATGTGTCTCCCATATGCCAGGAACACATCTGTTTTGATATTGGCACATAAACACTCACAGATTCCTTCCACAAACATTTGCTGCATCACCCCTGTGTGCCAAGCACTGTGCTTGGTACAAGGAATAAAAGGGCAGATAATATATGAACCTGCCTTTAAGTGCTTCATTATCAAGTCTGTTGAGGAGAATAAAGATGTGCAGTGAGCAATTAATTATCCACAGTGTGATAAGTACTGAGATAGAAATGTCTATATAGGTTGTTTGGGGAGAATTCAATAGGGCCTCCTCCCATGGTTAGGCCTGGGAAGGTGAAGAGAAAGTTTCCAGAGATGATAGCCCAATCTGGAGCTTGAAATACAAATAGAAGTTAATTAGGTAAAGATGTGGGATCCAGTGGGGGATGAGAAGGTGGCAGGAAGGGCATTCGAAGCCAAGGTTGTATCATGGACAAAAGCTCTGAAGCAGTTTACTGGAGCACTTTAAATAGTTCTATGTGGCTAGTGAATGGGGTAAGGCTGAAGTTAGTAGAATATAGTATGTGATGAGACTGCACACACAGCCAGAGACCAGCTTATTGAAGGACTTTCATACCTTGTGAAGAAGCTTAGACTTTAACCTAAAGGTAATGGGGAGTGGCTCTAACAACAGAAATTTATTGTGTTACACTTCTAGACGGTAGAAGTCTGAGATCAAGGTATAGGTAGGATTAGTTCCTTCTGAGGGTTCTGAGAGAGAATCTGTTCTATTCCTTGTTTTTACCTTCTGGTGGTTTTCTGACAATCTTTGGTGTTCTTTGGCTTGTAGACACATTATCCTAATCTCTGCCTTCATGTTCACATGGCATTCTCCTTGTGAGCATGTCTGTCTCTAAATTTACCCTCTTTATAAGGATACCAACCATACTAGAATAGGGACCCACCATACTCCAGTATGACCTCATCTCAACTTAACTAATTACATTTTCAAGGACCCTATTTCCAAATAAGGTCAGATCCTGAGGTACTGGGGGTTAGGAATTCAACATGTGAATTTAGAACGACATCACTCAGCCCATAACAGGAAGTCATTGAAGTGTCTTAGGTAGAGTAATTTTCGGATAATTGAAGTTCCATTTTAGAAATATCAACTGACAGACAAGAAGAGCATGGATCAAATGGCACTTGTATCAACTAGCTTGTGCTGTATAACAAGCAACTCCAGTGGCATTTAACAAGAAACACTTATTTATCGTGCATCTGCAGGGCTTAGCTCTTCTGATCTGGGTTGATCTGGGTGGCTCTACTTGTCTCAACTAGGATGATTCACTGTCTCTGGGTTTGGTGGGGCTCTATGCTAGAGTGGGCTTGTCTGGAGCACCTTAACCAGTGCCCCGTGTCTGTCATTCTTCTCCTGGCAGAAGAACAAACCCCCGTGTGCCAGTTCATTTCAAGCTTCTGCTTGCATCACATTTCCTAAACATCCTATAGGTAAAGAAAATCACATGGCTGAGCCCAGGGTCAAGGGGCTGAGCAGGTCACTAGCTCACAGTGGGAGAGCACTGTAAAGTTACATGACAAGGAACATGGATATAGAAAATTATGAAGAATAGAACCAAATTATTGCAATCTATCCCAAAATGCAAATGGAGGTAGATAGGCTCCTATAATAAGCCCAGTGATGCTGAGAACATCTGATGTTGGGGCAGTGGGAGTGGAAAAAACCCAAAAAGACATCTAAGCAAACCTGTGATTGGCTAGGCATTCCTAAACAGTTTTCGAAGACTTACCTTAAAGCTCTGTAAAATGGCTATTGTTTTCATCCTTCTCTCTTTGTCATGTCCCAAGCTCAGCTGGACCTGAGCCCATCTCCTACCTACCCAGCAGGGACTCTGCAAGGTCACCCTTATCTCTGCCCATCAGAGGACACAGAAGATGCAATTACAGACATTTTAAGGATCCCCAATTTCAAAAAATGAACCAAAAAACTGATACCAGTACGTAGAAACTTCCGATATATAGTCTCCTAGGATCCTTTTAATTATGGAGACTACTAGCATTCTCTAGAACTTAAAGGGAAATATCTTGGGCTGGTTTTTCCTGACCTCATATGGTTCTCTGAGCATTTGTATTCTGAAAGGCTGAACTCTGTTTAGAGACTTGCACTTTTAAGTCACGCTATCTAGACTACTCAGCAGAACTTCAAAGATAACTCATCTCATGGCGAGACAGCAGCCCAGCACCTAGGGGAGACAAAGCCAAAATCAGTGCCCCACAGCCTTCTGTTCTCCTCTGAATGGCTTGACAAGCAGTCCCTGATGGGCTGCCAGCATCCATTTTTACAGCAGTCTCCTTTAGGGAAGGAGATTTTTACAAGTTCATTCTTTAACATCCAGATAATTGCATCCCTCCATCTTTGCTCTTCCCATCGCCTTCTTTCCTGGGTGTCTGGTTCATAGTAGGAGCTTAATGAATGCTAATTCCCTTCCCTTCCCTTCTCATACCTTTCTCACTTTTTTTCTTTCAGGATCTCTCATTTTCTATTTATTTTTTCTCGCGATATATGCATACATAGCAACTGTGCATATTCATACATGAATATATATGCATGCATCTACACATATATTCCCCACTCTAGCATATAGAGTCCGAGGTCACCATTTTAAAAAAACAATGAGATCAAGTACTTTAATGAACTTCACAGATCAAAAGTCCTTGGCCACATCTGCACCAATGTAGCAAGCAAAGTTTAAACTCCATGTGGGAAACCAATTATAAATTGTAAAGAAAAGCTGAGGCAGGTATTATAGAGATTGCCACTATTTCCTTTTGAAACGGACAAAGGTTTAGAAAGTATTATATGACAACACATGGTTACACAATACATTATCTTCCTCTGCATCTCCCTGAGTTGTGTTCATTGTCAGTGGGAGAAATAGCCTCTTTGCCTCTGTCCCCAGGACTGTTTAATGGGAGTGAAGGAAGTCAATTAGTGAAGTGTAGGAAAAAAATCAGTGAAAATCAACTTTGTGTTATAAAATCCTTAGTTATGGGCTTCCCTGGTGGCGCAGTGGTTGAGAATCGGCCTGCCAATGCAGGGGACACAGGTTCGAGCCCTGGTCTGGGAAGATCCCACATGCCGCGGAGCAGCTAAGCCCATGCTCCACAATTACTGAGCAATGAGAAGCCCGCGCACCGCAACGAAGAGTAGCCCCCACTCACCGCAACTAGAGAAATCCGGTGTGCAGCAAGGAAGGCCCAACTCAACCAAAAATAAATAAATAAATAAATAAATAAATGTATATATATAAAAAAAAATCCTTAGGTAATATGATTTACAAAAGAATTTTATTCCTGGACTGTGCCTAGATCAGCTAATGAAACGGCTATGTCTGGATACAAAGACTTTTGAGAATTAATATACCCTTTGTAGCTTCAAGAATTAGAGTGCCTTTTTTAAACTGCAGATTTACATTAAAATATGTTTTTTAACTGATAATGACCATCTAGATGCCGGTGAATTGATTTTCACTCCAAGCCATGAAGAAACATGTAGCATCGCTGTGTGTTAGGCACAAAGCAGCATAATAGAGACGTTCTTGTGCTGTTACCCACCATGAGGACTTCTATTTTCATAGCAAAGCCCTCTAGTAAAGAGTATATGAACATACGTGGCAACCCTTTCCCTGGACTCAAAGCCGTTTGCTTACTTTAGGGTGTGCACATCTAGCTCTAGAGACAGACAAATACTGCAAGCCCTGACTCTTGACCTAGAAACTGAGAACCATTAGAGATACTCGAGATGGACATCAGCACACGACAGTCTGTGAGCCTAGAGGTCTCACCCTGAAGTGTCCAGAAGACCGCATACCAACCTCCTGATCCCACTCACACATGTCCAGGCCTGCCTCCCAACCCCTTCCTCCCTCATGCCCTCACCCGCTAGGCAAGCCTGGGAGCTGATAATCTGGGCCAGATTCCAGGGTGTTTCCATCAGCTGTCTCTTCCTGGCCTGAGGCTAACTTGCAAAACCATGTACTTCTCTACCATCCTTTTTTTTTTTTTTTTTTTTTTATAAGATTAAAGGGTATCCTTTAATTTTTTCTCCAAGGTTTTGGGTATTTTTTTAAAAATTTATTTTATTCAAGTATATTTGATTTACAATGTTGTGTTAATTTCTGCTGTACCGCACAGTGATTCAGTAATACATATATGTACATTCTTTTTCATATTCTTTTCCATTATGGTTTATCACAGATCTACCATCCCTTTTAATTAGAATTTCTCCTTCCCTTCCTGCAGTTTCCACCTAAAAATTACTTCTACACTCGGTGCTTTGTGACAGCCTGGAGGGGTGGGATAGGGAGAGTGGGAGGGAGGGAAACGCAAGAGGGAAGACATATGGGAACATATGTTTATGTATGACTGATTCACTTTGTTATAAAGCAGAAACTAACACACCATTGTAAAGCAATTGTACCCCAATAAAGATGTTAAAAAAAAAATTACTTCTACAGATACACATGGGTGTACAATGTTAATTTAAATAATTAACATCTATGATGCATTAACATGTACAAAGTACT